GGCGCATGCCAACTTAGTTTAATTTACAACCCCTTTGCGGTGCCATTGTTGTGGATCGGTTTATCAGTGACTTTTTTTCTTTATTATTCTTTCTTTTTTTTTTTTTGGGCGTCAGTGCTGCAATGGCGCCACGCAAAATGCGCCTGTTATTAAGCATAAAAATAAATTAATAAGCGAGCGACACCCACACGCAGGGACGATGTCAATTAAGCGACAAAGTACGACACAGGCAGTTAATGTTGGCACTGTGTGTGTGGAATTGGGGGTGCTGGGTGTGGGCAGGGTCTGTGGGAACCACCGCAAATATTTTAACGATGGCATGTGAACCTTTTCGCGTTGTCAATTGCAAGTGAAAAAGGGTGTTAAGGACGAAGATGTCATCATTAAAGCAAGCATCGGCAGCTGCATTAAGAAATTTTAACTTTTTAACTACTTTAAAATATTAAAAATTGAAGTAGAGAAAAATTTTAAAAATAGAAATGAGACGAAAAAACATTTACTAGACACTTGAAAAATTTTATAAAAATTTAAAAAATACTAAACATATTATTTTATCCATCAATTTTACCCAACTTTAAATATATTCCCAATTAAACTGTAAATAAATACAAATAAATACCTTAACAACTCTCCAAAAAACAATTCAAATTTAATAAAAATATTCTTTTCATTTACTTGTATCCTTTTCTAATCAAAAACCTATAAATTATTGCTCAAAAACCTGTACACAAAAATGTTTGTTAGAACTCAACAGATAACACAGAGATGCACAAGCAACCTTAAATTTCCTTTTGAAATTGCAATAAAAACAACAAATTTCCTCAAAAGACATGGGAAAAGAAATTCAAAATTCAGGGCCACAAGAGAAGTTATAAAAGTTGAGTGTGCGTAGGAAATTTGTTGGCTTTTGCCGTTCAAAAGGTCCACAAAATGCATAGAGGAATGTCATTTTCAGGAAAAACGAGGAGAACCGAACCATATGCAAATGAAACTGATAAATTTTCAATTAAATTGGTATTGGCAAAAACACAGAGGAAGAAATAGCACAAGAGGGATCGAGTGGGCATGGAGTAGGTGAGGAAGACAGGGCCAAGTCATTGGCTTGGAAGAGTGCAAGAGCAGTAGGGTCAAAGCCATTCAATTACGAAATTAAATTTCGGTTTCTCTCCAAATAAAAGGGGAGAAAATTAAATGTTTGAATGGGTTACAACTGCATAGATGCTCAAGTGAGTCACACTTTTAGAACATTTAAATTCAAATCAGCACTTGTACAAATATTTGCTTTTTACACTTTGAAGCTGCAAAAGCAATTCTAACTTTTTCACACATTTAAATTGAAGGAGCTTATAGCCAAAAACTTAAGCTTCTTTAATTAAATTTTTAAATAAATTTCATTCCATTAAATATGGCAATAAAATTGTACAAATTGGGCCACATGTAAATGATTCCAAAACAATTTCAAATCAGGCTTCATGGCTGATTGGAAAACGTGCCAAAATACAAAACCTTTTAGTCGAAATAATTTTGGTAAATTATTTTTGGGTCTGGCCATAAACAAAATGCTGATCAATGACTAATTTATTCCATTTTGTGAGGGGATTTCCCACGGGCAGCAAACACACAAAACACATTTCAGCACAAATCATGGCTCTACCCACGAATGAATGAAATTTATCGGAGGCAAATTGTGCGTTAAAATTATAAAATTTAATCAATGCCAAATGGAGGGTTGTTGCAAAGGCCTCTCCTGTCGTGTTTACCCCTTTTATGCCAGCTCATGCAACAGTTGGTTACCATTTTCGCCAGTGCACATTGGGCCAGCGAGCCGATATATCGACGAAAATTCAAATTTTTCATAGAAAGTAAACCTATTTAAATAATAAAATTTGAATAGTATATACTCTGACTAAAATGAATCAAAAGATTTTAATTGTTTTGATGCATCCCGGAAATTTTGGCAGCCCTTCAAAGTCAGCTCTTTGATTGCGTGCGTGCGAAACTCAAAAGCGAGAGAAAGATTTTGTTTACTTGCGAGCGTGACAAAATTGTTGTGGTTTAAGCAATTTTCACTAAATTTATGGAAAAGAAAGGCAAAGATATGTAGAATATTTGTATTAAAATAGACTTTGTTCATGTTTGATAATGTGCTCTTTGTGTGCGTTTATTTGTGTTGTCCAAAAGTAGAAAAAAGCTAACCTAGTAACCCATCTGTTGTAGACTATAACAAATTTTGTGCCAACTTGTGCCAAAAAGTAACTATGTGTCATTAAAGTTCAAAGTGTATATAAACTAATTTTATTAAGCTTTTTTGCATCTTTTTGCGTCTATATATATAAATCCGACATATCGTAACTGTGGTTGAGTTCGCCTATGAGCAATTGTTTGATGCCTATATAGAAAACAATCATAGAGCATCTGCCGTAACAAGTTGGATTTATGATGAACTGATAGAACTCGACTTAAGAACGGAGCAATAGTGATAGTGATTTAGATTCTTACTCTGAAAATCCGTTTTCAATAAAACTTGACGTAGAAGACGACTGTTAGGAGCATTTTAAAATGAAAAATACTTATTTATATTCATTTTGAATGCATTGTTATTTTTTACTTCTTAATATTAAGGTTAAGTGTTAAAAAAATGAATTTAAAACATTTGTTGAATTTAATTTATTTATTTCCGTACAAATATCAATAAGAGGAAACCTATCATATATGGGCGGCTAGGGAAGGCGTGGTCAGATCGGTCTGAAACTTAGATATGTTTCTATGTGAATCGACACTAATATATGTACCAAATTTGAAGAACCTAGCTTTAAAACTTTAATTTTCGTCGAACTATCGGCTCGCTGGCCCAATGTGCAGTGGCCAAAAACGGGGGTGCACAATCTCACCTTTTTATGCAAATTAGAGACGCGTCTGTGGAGCAAATGGGTGGGATTTTCCACAGAGAGAGAGAGAGGGAGGTGGGTGGGGTGAAGCAATTGCAAATTCCACCACCATCGCCGCCGCTTTGAACGTGTCTTGGCACTTATAACAGCCACAACAGGAGCGGAATTTAATTGACAATTGCTTAGGGGGCTCAATTTCCGAGGCAAGGGTAAACTGAGTGGACGCTGGACAGGCGCATCCCACCCATCCTGACCCACAAAAGTCAGGACCCCTTTAGCAATGTGTTTCTGTGGTTTTGCCCATCAACAAGCTCGAATTCCTCGAATGGAGCACCCTTTGGCCTGGTTATGTTTCATCAATTAAATTACCATCGATTGGTTTGACAAAAGGGGAGAGTTAAAGGAACCAATTTGATAGCTTTCATTCAATTAGTACGTTACATTAATGATAATAGTAACAGGACTTGGAGCAGACAATCGATGTAATAAATAGCCAATTAAGGGAATGCAATTTGTGGCTTTAACTGAAAATGTTCTTGTTTGTTTCTGGATAAATATGATGCAGTATATATCCCGCTTGCATTAAAATTAATATTTAAAAATATTTAGACAAGTTAGTAAGTGCTATTTGTTATTATTAATATTATTTTTCCTGCTTAATTAATTCTAAATTTATTTTTAAAAAACTCTGCCTACTTTTGAATACTTTATAATTAAGCAAGTAAATATGAACACTACAGAATTTTCTAAAGTAATCAGCAATTAATGTCTGGCTATACAAGTTAGTTATGATGCCACGCCCACAATCAATTGAAGCTAGTTAATTAAGAGAACGTAAAAGTTTCACTGCCAACTAGTAGCCAAAAGCATTCCGTAAATGCAATTTTCAAAGCGAACACGATTTCAAATCAACGTAAGCATACACTGAAAAAAATGTAGAGTATTTTTAACAAATTGGTAAATTTTAAAACAAAAAAATATCAAACCTTGATTTTCATAAAACTTAGGGTTTTGAAAACCCTACAAAAAGTGTTTTTTTAATTTTAAAAAATCCTGAAGACTATTTTTAGATACCTTTTTAGGTATTTTCAAAATCCTAGGAATTGCTGAAGCACCTTCCAAATACTAAAAACCCCCTTAAAATCTTAAAATAAATTGATTATACAGCAAATATATATATAATTTTACTTAATTTGCTTTGTGTAGGTTGCAGCAAAAGTGCTCGCTCTGGTTGAAAATTGATGCGGGTTCTCGGAATGGGAGTTCAGGGGGTGGTGCTGATTAGAACTAAGATGAGCTGAGCATACTTAATGCCGCTTAATCAGCGAGCAAAAAATCAAAAGGAAATCGAGAGGGAAAGAGTGAGTGAGTCAAGTGAAAAGTATTTTCGCGCCAACGTCGCACAAAATGTTAAATTGCATTTAATTTGAGCTGCGGCTGCATTTTCCTTCATCTTCTTCCATATCCAGAGAGAGAGGGTTTTGAGATCCGCGTCGTATTAGGCGTATTTTGTGGGGTACGTTGTGGGTGCTGCTTCATTGGGCAAGCGAAAATTTTCGGATGGCAAATGCCTGCAATTAGGAGCCAAAGGAGCGTTGCATATTCTGCGGCACCCGGATTTGGCAGAGAGCAATTAAAATTGCTGGGATTTAGCCTCTAAAAAGCGAAACTTACCACGGATAGTTAATGAGTTTTGGTTTTGGCCATTATACAGCTGCTGCAGGATCAGCACGGGCCAGCAATAGTTCGAAAAGTTCTAATCATTTGCAGCATTCCATCAGAATTAAAGCAGACAAATTTTTTGGGAAAAGTTTCTTGTGAATTTTAAGTGTGGGAAGAGGATGAAATATGGTATTTTTTTTTTTTTTTTTTTTTTTCGCGCGGGGTCCCGCTTCCACCTCCCGCCCACCGACCGAGGGGCGCATATATATATATATATTTCTGAGAAAATAAAGTTGAATAGAATAGTTTATGATATCTTCAGAATTTTCTTTATTTATTTTTCTTTTAAAGCATTTAACTAACTTTAGAATAATAATTTTCTGACATTTTAAAATGGTTTTAAATGCACTTAAAAGCTTACTCATAGTCACTAAATTTGTCATGTCTTACCAAATATTTATATAAAAAAACTCAGTCAATTAATTGGATCTGCAAAGAAAGAAACAAAAATAAACATAAATATATATTCGGTTGAGAACCTGTTAAGAATGCATGAGAAAAATGGTTTTTCATAACAAAAGCAATCTCCAAAAGCTGTCATTGAGCTCGGGGGAAACACTTTACGAGGTATTTTTAAGCATTTCCTTTTTTTCTTTTTTTAAGAGCGTAATTAGAAGGGAGGTAACATAGCAGAGCTAAAATGGCCAGCAAAACGCCAGCGATTTTATGCTAATGGTAATGGCCAAGGCAGCAAACAAAAAAAGAAGATGAAGGAAAAAAGGTGGAATAAGAGGGCAAAACGTCTCTCTGAAATATGTCGCTCAAAGTAACGAGGAAAAGTATCTAAAAGATACATATATACGTGTATCTGTATCTGGGTTAGCGACTGCCAAATGGTATGCATATTAAAAATAGCAACAAAGAGGCAAAACGGGAGGGGGAAAAAGGCACTGAAAACCAGGCTAAATTCATCAATGACAAGGGAACGGAGTTTGGGGTTTCCCCCTGAATGGATGGATGGTTGATGTTGACACTGATGCTGATGCTGCTGACGTGTAATGTCAGTCAGATTAACGTTAAGGCTGATGCACTCGTAAATTAACTTGGCTATAAATAAATGGGGATATTTTTGGGACATTTTTTCTGTAGGGTAAGGTACAAACAAATTAATTTTCTGTACAGATTTAGATAGGATTTAAATATTAACTTGAGACCTTATTTTATGTTTTTTTTTTTAAACTTTATTCCCTTTTCCCTCAATTTATTTAGCCATCTTTGAGCCAACTTCAAATTGAACTCATTTGGCCATTTGCCAATTAACTTTTTTTTTTTTTTCTTGTCCTGTGGCACAAGAGCATTGCCCGATTGGTTAGTTACCCCTTTTGGGCAGAGCCAGCACCCGGATACCCTCCACCCGCCATGTTTGGCAATAATTCAAAGCAGACCCCAAACACACCCCCTCCTCTACGCCCTTAACCTATCTGGCCACCCTTTGGCAGCCAAACCACCAAAACTTTGAAAGCCTTTTGGCCGCAGGCTAACAATGTTCGCTTGAACAAACTCTGCCTCCTCCCTGTGAACCATCTCGATGGCAACATCCTCTTTTAGTCAATACACTGGCCAAAATAGAAGATCTTAAGTTTCAAAGGAGACAAGAATTCCTATAGTAAATTTAATAATTTATAGAAAATATATAAATTTATAATTATTTAAGTTTAATAAAAGGTTATTAACTTTAAACTACTCCTGACTACTACATAACTCCACACATTATTTATTTTTAAAACCTTCGTTTGTTTTATTTTAAAAATTGTATAAATTCACCATATTTAATAGATTTGTACTAAATTTTTTCGCGAGTGCAGAGGCACTGCCGCAGCCGCAACATTGTGCTGTGGCACAGTTTTGCAGCCACTGAAGGCGACGTTGACGGTAAATGCAAAAATGCAGGGAATCCACTGGACGGTGAAACAGGCACCCTACATGAGTGGGTGGGACTGGTGGAATGTGAATAGGTGTGGAAGTATGGGACAGGCGGTGTGGTGTGTGTGTTTGTGTGTGTGTGTGATATGACCGCATTTGATTTTCATCTATGCAGCTGCATGGCCAACTCTCGAGCCTCTCCAGGAAAAGTGGGCTAAGAACTTTGGTACTTTGTTTAGTTGAATTACGCCAAAGCACATTAAGTTCCCTTTTGGTGCGCTCTGTTTGTTAAGTGCTTAATGAACTTTGCTAAACATGCTTGGCCAAGGGACTTGACTTAACTTGCCCTCTAAACTTTCCACATCTCACTTTCACTCGGCCGAACTTGGTCCAAAGTCCTTGCCTTTACCCTCTTCCCCACTTTTCCTCCTTTCCTCTCGATGGCCGATGGCAGATTTATGGCCGACTTCTCTTAAGAGATCCCCCCGAAGGCAAATCCGTCTTGAGCTCATTCAATTTGCATGCGTTTTGTTGCATTTCCATAATTAATTAACTCGCAAAACGGTTGTTCATTTGGTACGGTTAAGCTTGAATTATGAATTGAGAGAAAGGGATTAAATGGATTTGCCAACTAAAATGGCTTAACAAATAACAGTAATTTGTGCAATTAGTTGGAGAGTCTATTTGCAGCTAATTAGAATAGATATAAATTGTTTTTAATGTGGGAATTTACTGAATTAGAGCATTGCATTTGTGTTTTTATTATTACTAGTATAAAAAAAAAATTTATAATTAGGTTATATGAAAGTAAATGCTTGTTTTCATCATCTTTAATTTAAAGTATATATTCCTTAAATTCCTTAAAGCCTTTTTAACAATTCCGTATCCTTGCTTAAGCAATTCTAAATTGGTACGCTTCCTTAGCCACTGAATATTCCGCCGGATTTCCCCCATTATAAGCCGGCACCCACCCGCTGTGCGAACACATTTGGCATAACGTGTCTCTGCTAATGTCACACATGCATCATAGCCACAGGACCAGCCAAGGCCGCAGGGGGAGCGAAAAACAAGGATAAATGGACCTGGGGTGGCTTCTGGAGTGGCTTAACTAAGCTGCAGCTAATTATGCAAATTCATTTAATGCCATTGTTAAAATGATATTTGCCAGCAGGATTTGTCATGCTGATAGACCACAGCGTCTTCTACCACTTAAGAACGGATGATTAAGCGCAAATTTGACTTGCAAAAAAGTTACTTCCTGTTTAATTAAGCGGTACAGCTTGAAGTTTGTCTTTTAACGAAATAATCTTGAAAGTAAAGAACAAGGAAGTACAGTTGCCGCTGCTGTCAGTGTGACCATAAAAACAGTTGCCTCAGAAAACCGGTCATATTTCTTATTTGTACAGATGGGTTGAAATTTCTCTTCTAAACTGGAGTACAATCTCTTAATTTTATAAAAAAAAAGAAATAAAATAATTAACGAAATAATCTCAAAAGTAAAAACCAAAAAAGTACAGTTGCCTCTATTGCCAGTGTGACCATTAGAACATTTGCCTCAAATTATGAGCAATATTTCATACTCGCTTAGAAGAGATAAATGTGAATTATGAATACGACCAACAGAGCAATAATCATGAGATTAAGAAGTGCGGCAAAGAGGCCTTCATTTTCAAGTACAGTTGCGTTGTGCATAAATTTTGAAGGCACATGGGGAATAGGCCGAGACTTGCCTCCGCCAAATTTATGGAAGGCGCTCTCCCGAACCACTTTGGGGCACATACATATTAATGAAAACAGACGCCCAAGGCAGCAGCAACAGCAGCAGCAGCCGAGTGGGCCTTACAATAAATCTCCTAGTTATTGTTTTATAACATGCTTTCAGGCGTAAATCCCTTACAATAAAGGTATGCGCGCCCGGGTCTCAATTTCTTTCATTTAGGCGGCAGTGCTCAGAGCCCACTTTAAACTTGTTTCCCAGCTCAAGTGTTCCGAGGGGCCACTCGAACATTTTGGGAGATTGGTTGCCCTAACAGCCGCAACAGCAGCAGAATAAGAAGAAAGGTAACCAGGCATTAAATTGAAGGCGAAGCCGAAGCTGAAACCTCAGCAAACTTTCTTTACCTCGATTTTTGGGGGCATTCTACAGGGCCATCATTTCCAGGCTTAAGCCACGCCGATTCTCGGGGTTTTTATTTCCTTAAAGTTTGGCCCAGCACTAAGCATTATTATTATTATTTTGCTTGTACTGAGCAACTTTTTATAAACGATCTACAGGTCGAAACAAAAGTTTAAATGAGCCAAAAGTTTAAGCAGGGCTTTGGTAGAAATCCACCCACGACCTTTTTCTCTGACCCCACAAAAGTTGACCGGTGAATTTTAAATAAATGCAAATGAATAATTTTCTCAATTGCAAGTGTCGGAACAAAACCCTCTGGCAAGTGCGTAGTGCACTTGTGTTATTTAAGAATTTCCATAGGAATTTCATCGGAATTTTGGGGCCAAAACCATTGACAAATTCAGCACAGAGCCACCGGCAATTAAGTTGAGAAAGTTTTAGCTCCAGACTCTCCTCTGCTATGAAATATAAATAATTATCTGGCGTTGCCTAATTCTGTTGAGAGGCCATAGCCACAAAACCATTTTCCTAGCTTAGGAAATCTGCTAACAGTGTTTAATTTCAACACTGTCCGCAACCACAACACTGAAACTGACCAACGACTGCAGCTGGCACGCCTCTCCTTCCCTGTCCCTGTAAAATAATAATAATAATAATTTACTATGAAACCCAAAGCCACAGGATAACATGAAGACCCGAGCCCACATTTAAGCGTTCATTGTATCCTGTGGTGGATTTCGGGTGCGGGCGGAGGATTCCTGGGCGGATATTCGGGGTGCAGGCAGATGGAGATGTGTAGCTGGTGGCCAGCTGCAGCTTGGAGTTGGCTAACCGATAGAGTGGGCCATAAAAAATAGCTTAATTAGTTGCCATTGCTGGATGGCAGGATAAATATTGAAGTTGTTGGCTTTGGCAAATATTTGAGAGGGAGAAAGAGCTGGAATGCACACAGCCAGCTGGTGGCAAAGGAGGAAAAGGGTTGGGGAAAATTCAGGAGTAATTAATATGAGCATTCGAAAACTATTTCAGGAAAAGCAAGCAATGAAATATTTAAATTTTAAGGGAAAACACAAAACTAATAAGTGTACATTTGTGGTTATTATATTACATTAATTAAGGCTTAAAAATCAAGACTAGAAAGGAAATTTCTTGAATAAGATATATGAGTGGTTTGAATATGTATCTACATGTTTTGGATTAATTATGCATCCAAGAAAATGCATTAAACCTTCATCCAAGTGCATATAGAAAGTGCAAATTGTTTTCTAATTACGCACAAATTGCCAAGACTCAAGTCTAGCCATTTTGGACCCTAAAGTCGAAGCAATTTAGGCTGCACCAGGGATTCTTATTACCAGGAAAAACGAATGCAAATTGAGATAGGGTTAAATTCGGGAGGAAAAGTATTCGGGAAGTTCAATTAAATTCTGATACGCATTCGGACAACAAC